TGACAGCATTGGGCAGCAGTGATCTGGGATCAGTGAAGATTTTTCACAGTACTAGACTTAGCATCTATGGAACCTTCAAAAATAAATTTTCCAAACTTATTTTTAAAAAATCTTTTGAAATATTAGAATCATTTTAAAAAGCATCGAAACTGAAGAAAAATTATGTCTATGGCAATAAAAAATATCAATACAAAAAAAATGTCATTCATTCTTTAAACTAAGTGCCCTTTAAAACAAAATGAAACATACATTCATTTTAGCTAAACCAACAATCTCCCTAACTTGCATAACATTATGGTTTTTCTTCTTGGTGCTGCAATTTTCTTTAAACCAAAGAACTTACATAACCATTTGGATGTTAAGAGAAGTTTACAAAACAATAAAGCATTCCAAGAAGCCATTTCCATCCCCTTCCAGTAACAAGCATTACCACAAGTTGCAATTTGTCTATTCTAATCAACTTGCTACATTTCCTACATAAAGACTTACTTCACTAAAGACTACTTACTGCACTACATGTCAATGGTTAGAAGAACACACCTAGAAATGTACACAGAATAATCCAGTGTTAAAATGCTATATATCACAAGTGATTAGCTGAGGAATCACCCTTAAAACCAGAACTTTGGTAATCCTCCATGCTATGGCACAACACACCAATAAATTTGCAGCAGCACAATATGCCAATGATATTTAAGACAGCATTATTCCATTTGTATCACATACCTCCAAACAATTTTTCAATGAAACAATCTATAGTCACATGTGGCACATTTCCCCGATAGCTTCATCCATTACATTCTGATAACTAATTAATTGTTTGACCTCTCACTGATTGAATTTGGCACTAAATGGAATGCAACTATACCTAACTCGGAATGTAGATAAGCTAGCCAATCAATTGGTCTATTCCATACCTGTGTATTACGGCAGGTATACAGAATATATCTGCATGTACATTCAAAAAATCATCTCCATAATCTATACAAATAATGTAACATTTGTATTCACATCAAATGTTGATACTACAAAACAACAGATTAAGGAACAACGCAATCTGCAACATTAACTGAATTAGATAATTTTAGCTTAGCTTATACCGTCCGTCATACATTAAGCGCGCATTCGTAAACGTATTTTGCACACACGCATATTCGCAGCCGTAAAGGACAACGCGACGCATGCGCAGAAAGTTTGTAGCTTTGAGGTCCGGATTATGGGTGTCCGAATTAACGACTTTTGACTGTATACCACTTCCTGATGTAAAACAATAATAAATACAAATATTAACTGATAAAGCACTTTTGAACCTTCATAAAAACTTTTATAAATATTGACAGATTAAGAAACCCTAGATCAAATGAAATTTAATAAGAAAATTTATGCCAAAAAGCACTAGGGATTGGGTAAATGAAATGTTCAGAATTTAATTAATTCAATAAATTCCATTTATTGGTAGGAAAAATTAAAAACTGGGAAATTTTGTGGTCTACTGGTAGATGTGATGAAAAACTGGGAATCTCTCAGCAAAACTAGAAGAGTTGGAAGTAACTATGAATATACATTATTTCCACAAAAAATGCATTTTCAATGTTCCCATTTCATTACATCACAATTTTTTAATAATGGTAGATTTTCTTCTATTTTAATTCTAAATCATTTTGCTGCATTATAAAAGAATATTAAAACTTAATTTTTCTATTCTACAATTTTACTGCACTAATTATTATAATTTTTAAATCACTTTCATTCAATTTTGAATGCATTCTTTCATACACAAACAAATACTGAGAAAAAGAAAAATAAACCTATCACTATCTCTTCAACCTGTTCCATATAAATGTCTATTTTAAATAAAATAGCTTGATCCATATTTAAAAAAAAAAAAGCATCTATCTTATTAATATTTATCTTTGAGTAGTTTATATTAAGTGAAAGTGAGATAAAATTAATGCCAAAGATTATTAATTTTACAAAACAGAGCTAGTAAGCTTATTTCTAAAAATTTTATGAACAACAAATATGCATTTACATGCTAAAAGTTAAATATAATCAAGACAGAAATTTAAATATTGGTAATTTCTGACTATCCCCACCAGCAGCTAAGTCACAAACTTATTGGTGACTTTCCATTAAGTCACAAACTTATTCGAAAGAAACATTTGTCTGGGTATCTATGTCTATTTCCTCCCTCATCAAGGGCAACCTTTTTTATAACATCATTCTTTTTTTCAATACATGACAGGCATACATTTTTTTTTTTTTTTTTTTTTTTTTTTTTTTTTTTTTTTTGGCACTGGCTGGAGGTGGGGAAGGACAGTTATATATTTTCCGTTCTACTAGGCTGATTGACGAAATTCAAATTGTGTTTTTCATGTCTTGAAAGCACGACTTAGGATATGTATTAGATTTATATAAAGCAATGTTCTAACATCGGTATTCTGACACAAAATTGGGCTTTCTCTGAAATAACATAGCAATTTTTTTTCCTTGTTCTGATTGTGGCCATTTGGTAATTTTTGGTGAGAAATTTTAAAACTTACCTTGGCATATTTTTTTTTCAGTTTGCGTCAAGAATAATTCACTTGGCGCAATTCTTAATTTATAGTAGCCTACTTACTATGCTCTTTTTTTTTTTTTTTTTTATTGATGCATAAGCAGAAAAAAGGTCCATTGTTCATTCTTTCAAATAATTTTAACAAAGTATGTAAGCCACATTTTCGTTATTATCGTTTATAATAAACATGCCAAAACTTAAGTTCACGTTTATCTTAGGAAATTTTGAATAAAAAAACTCTTAATTTTTTGCAGGCATGTTTAGAAATACATCTACTTTAAGATGATGGCAAAAATTTTATACATTATAATTCAAATTTTTTTTCAAAAAATTTATAATTATTATTTAAAAATACAAATTTTTAAAATCATAAAAAATGGGAGAATTTTATTTGCAATGTATCTAAATTTTGAAATGCGAAAGGAAGAATCAAATAAGTTTAAGAAAAAAAAGGCAGATTAATACACTGCTGGCCACCCAAATTGCAATACCAAGAAAGACAAGAGATATCACAACAAAATTTATTTAGCAGATAACATGTTGACCAAGTATCAAATGATTAAATTTATAGATTTCTGTGAAGTGTGGTTCCTTCCAAAATCAGTAGCCAGAGTAGCCGCCATTGTTGGAGATAACCGCTACCACACGCCTCGGCAGACCAAGCAGCTTCCACACGTTGCCACAGTTGATCTAGTGTGGCAGCCTAGGATGTAATCTGGGTCAATCGTTCAGCAACCATGGACCACGTTTTCTATCGGCGAAAGATCCGGAGAGCAAGCCGGCCAAAGAAGCAATTCAATCTGATGACTGACGAATAACCCTTGGGCAATGCGTGCCACGTGTGGTCGTGCATTATCCTGTTGAAATATGGCTGTGGGCAAGCCCTGAAGGTAATGAAGGACAACTGATTCCAACACCTCGAAGACGTAACGCTAGCTGTTTAAAGTATCGGCAATGCATATAAGAGGAGTTCATTCCATTCTGCCGTCCACATCCTTCTTCCATCACACCATTGGCGGCAGAGAATTTTGTCGTTCTGCGTCAAGGGTAAACGAAGCAACAGACGTCTTGCGGACAGACCACTCTGCTGTAAACGGCATTGAATGGTACGTACAGACACTAGATGATGCATTACAGACTGAATGTGCTGTGCTATGATTCGTGATGTGACTGAGCGATCCATCACTGCCATGCATACCTGTCATCACGTGAAGTGGTGCACTGAGGTGGATGCAATCGAACACGTCGGTCCGTCATACCCTCCTGCATCCAAAGGTCACATTACAGTTGTTTGGTTTTGTCCAACACGACTTCTGATTTCCCTGAAAGATAATCCACACTCTTGGTAGGCCACTATCCTTCCTCTGTCAAACTCGGATACTTGATCAAACGATGATCACTGTTTACTACGAGGCATAATTGATCTTTTTTTAAAAAAAAAAAACTACAAGAAAAACACAATTGCCGAACTTGAAATCGTTAAAAATTCCAAGACTTAAATAGTGCTTTGGAAGTGGTGCCGCAGGCGCGCATGATGTGCATCTGCGCTGAAATTCTAATCATTTGCAATATCTCACCAATGCTAATGCATGTTGTAAATTTCATGTTTTTGCATGCTTCCTTCAGGATGTTGCATTTACGGTGGCCAGCAGTGTAAATATATACCAAATTCAATTCACATGGAGGAGCTAAAATTTTCAGAGCTATTTTTTAAAAACTAATCGTACAATTTTTACAAAACTTGGCATTTTGGCATAATTTGAGTCGCAGAATCGAAATACAGAAAAAAATTCACGTCACTTGAGAAAAAGGCCACTTTTGTGTCAAAATACCTATGTTAGAACAATGCTATATATAAATCTAATGCATATCCTAAATCATGCTTCTGAGACATGAAAAATGCAATTTGAATTTTGTCAACTGGCCCAGTAAATTTTTTTTTTCGCAGTGTATATAGCAAACTCTTTTAATTAAAAGAAAAAAAAACACAACATCGTACACAACTTTGACATCGAAACTTAAAATGAGAAGTTAATAAAGAGGCTCATGATGCCTTTCATGTGAACTAAATTTTGCTCTGTGTCAGATTTCGCTGAAGACGAAGAAAACTATGGTTTGTGGTCCACCACTGTGCTTAAACACTTAAATCCTTATAGGAGGGACAACAATCTGCAGTTATACAGGCAAATATGTCACAAGTGAAAAGCCATTTAGTAAGGGATGCTACGCACAATCCTGAATTGAAACATAAATACTTTTTGCCAACATGGTGCATTGCCACTTTAATATATTTTTGCGGCTTCTCAGGAGGTGCAGACAATTAGAAAGTACCAAAATATTGCGTAAAAGAATTGCTTTTGAAATTTCAATGAATTTTCTAAAAATGCAAATAATGACATTAACAGCAAATGAAATAAAAATATTAAATATATAAAAGGCTTACCGAGCATCTGGATAAGATCCATTAGCAAAACTCCAAGAACTCCTTGCCTTATCTTTACTTTTTTCAGATGAATCCTCACCTCGTATTCTCTGTCTTCTATCCATATCATCAACTCTGTAATCTATCATTTGCACTGCAGACTTTTTTCTAGCACAATATTTCAAATGTGTGATAAGATTATTAACCATGCTACTAGCAAAACCGCAATGAGAGCACGTAAATTCTAATGATTGGTTTGGAGGTATTGGAGAGTTACGTCTAAATGTGAAAGGTTCATCTAACACTGGAGATACTGCAGGAGATGTTGGAAAGATCTTTATACCAGCTTTTTTTACTTCAGCAGGAGTATTTGCAGAATTTTCTTCATCTCCAGGTTTTGCTTTTTTAGGTCTACCTCGTTTTCGGGGAACATTTCTTGAATTATCAAGTTGTTGATTAAAAGTTTCGGAATTACGAAGAGACATGAACTGTTTTTTCACTTTTTCTCTGACTTTACGTTTATTAGTAGACTCTTCTCGCTTCAACTTAGATGGTGAGCTTTTCACAAGTTTTTCCCATTCAAGTCCCCTTTTAGCTTCACTTTTTGAAGATTTAGATTTGTGCCGTTTACAGCTGGAATTCGGTGCCCTTTTTTTGGGAGAAGATTTAGAAGCATCATCTGTACTCTGAGATGGAAAAAATGATGTCCCCATTAAATAATCTCCCCAATGTATACTTTCAGAACTGCCAGTATCCAAACATTCTCCAGTTTTTTCATCATCAGTACTGTCTTCCTTAGCTTCATCTTCTTCCATTGATTCAAATGAACGTTTGGACCGTGGCCTCAAGCTTCGAGTTCTAATTTCTCGTATGATAGGAGGTACACTTTTCCTTTTCCTCTTGTATGTTGCATTAACTTTACTTTTTATATCAGATACTAATGCCATATCATCATCATCAATGTGATCTACAGGTTGCTGGACTTCAGCAGTATTAGTAGCTGGTGGTTCATTAAATTCACTGTTACCACTGAAAAGACTACCAGAAAACTCTTCTTCATAAAGTTCAATTTTATCCTTTTCACTGGTAAGCTTATTTTCAGCAATGACATTAGTTTTCTTTTTTTTAACATAAGTCTTTTTAGGTGGCTTGACAAATGTTTCTTCGATTGCAGAATCCAAATCTTCATATTTTTCATCTACGTTCAAAGGAGATTCATTATTATCCATTTTCGTCTCACTTAATTTTTTTGTTTCATTTATATTTTTTTCAGTTTCGAAATCATCAGTACCTGATTTAGAACATTCTCCATTTACATTTTCATTCTCAAATGACACATTTTTATCTATAAGAGAAGGTGGATTGAAATCTGAATATTTTTTACTGTTATCTGTGTTTTCATTAATGCTTTTTAAAGATTCCTCAGCAGCCTCCGAGTGATTATCAACGTTTGGCTCCAAAGCCCCTTCAAAAGTAATTTGTGAAGCCTCATATTTATTTACTATATCAGTGGTTTCCTCATGATCCATATCAACAGTTTCAGGTCTTGCATTATGCAAAACTTCACCGGACATATTTTGGCACTTATCTGTTGAATTCTGGCAAACCTCTTTTACCTTATTAACAGAAGGACTACTTTCAGATGGAAATGCACTCAAACTTGCATCTTTTGTCTCATCTAGATCAGGTAGAAGAGGAATTGCTTTTCTCCTTCTACGTGGACTAAATACTGCTTGCGTCATTGAAGACGAAGATTCACTTTCATACGTGAATACAGAGCTTTTTATATCCTGCTTTCCTGATGTTTCATTACATCTTGTGTTATCTTCAGAATATGCCTGAATTACTTCAGTCTTCCTATTGGCACAAATAGCATCACTCTCAGTTTCACTTACATCGTTAGATAATTCTGTAAAAAGCTCCGTTGAGTTTTCACATGCATTTGTGTCAGGTTGAGAATTAATAATCTTTTCTTCATTTGTCTCTTCCTTTGTTTCTTCAACATCTGAAGAGAACTCTCTGTTGTTCAAAGGAACAGATAAATTACTGTTATAGTCATTTTCTTCTTTGGATTCATCATCATCTACACAGGAATCTCTGCTTGAAATCCCAACTGAACTATTTGTATTCTCATCCAAGGTTTGAAATTCATTCTGTACATCATGGCATGAAGTATTATCATCAACAACTGCAGCTTCTTTAGAATTTGAATTCTCACTTTCAACTGCAGACAAAGCAGTCCCATCTGCAGCATTAGTTTTATCAAATCCTTTATTTGTAACAATAGTTTTTGAATTACCCTGATCAAAAAATCTACTATCAATTTCTTCATGAATATCTTCCAAGCTAGCTGATCCATCATGATTGCTGTCAGATACATCCTGTAAAAAAACATTGTTATTTTCTGAACCATTATGATTAATGTTACCGGGAACATCCTGTAAAGAGATACAGTCATTTTCTGGTCTATTGTGATTGCCATTATCAGAAATATCCTGCAAAGAAAGACAGTCATTTCCTTGTCCAATGTGATTGCTGTTACAAGCAATCTCATGAGAAGAGACAGAATCATTTTCTGACTCATTGTGATTCGTGTTAACAGAAACACCCTGTGAAGAGTTACAGTCATTTTTATCTTGGTGCACAGCAGTTTCATTAACTGAGTCTTCAGATGCGTGATTATTTTTCAGAACACCGTTTTCTGATGAATTAACGCAAATGTCGGCTGAAGAAGGTGGATGAATAACAGATACAGTGTTATCAATAATTCTTGTGGACGAATAACACGAAAATGTATGGACGTTGCCTACTGTTTGATTTTGTGAATCTAAATTTAAAACTGTAGTAATCTGGCCCTGAGTTTCATTTTCATCAACTTCCATTGGCTCTTCTTTTGTAACTTCAGCACTGCCAGACAATAAAACAGTGTTACTTGAATCATCTATGTGCTGCTGAGTTACGATGACAGAACCTTCTGCTATACTCAAAGAACATTCATCACTGGTTTTTAATGTGTCAACTGTTGAACAACCCTTTTGATCAGCAGACTGAAGTTCATGAGCTATGTACGCAAGCTGCATCAATTTCCTGTGTTTTGGTTCATCAGTTGTTAAAATCAGAGGTGGTGATGATAAAACAGATGGAGTGGGAATGAAAACCATTTCTGTACTATCCTCCTTTATATGAACATTGTCTTTTACAGCCCAAATTGTAGAATCATCATTAGGACTGCCAGAAGAAAAATGAGTAGTTTCAGCACGTATATGTGCAAGATCCCCATTTCGTTCAATATACATATGACCAGCTTCTTCTTGCCCTTGAGGAATCTCCTCAGTTTCAATGAGTTCTATATCTTGAGATCCACCATCTACTACAATAGCTTGATCCTTGGAATCACCTTCTATTGCTATCAAACTAGGATGCATGACAGAACTCTGAGCAAAGGAATGCTCTAAAGGTTGGTCCTGCTCGGCACTCACGACAACGTATAACTCACCTTCTCCACGAGCCAACAGAAAATGTTGTCCAAGTTGTCTAAGCTGTCCTAATTCTATTCCTTCAGATTCTAAAATTATGGTTGCATTTTCAGTAGCTGGCTGAACTTCAAGATAACCTAAAACCTGTTGATCATCATCATTTGCAACAAGCCCTTCAGCAGAACTTGCAAGATTATTGCCATCATCAATGCTGTCAAAACCATCATCCTGTTCAGAAGGCTCCATTTTAGTTTCTCCCCTTTCAAAAACCATTGGAAGTTTACTCAGTTCTAAGAAAGAAAAAAAAAAATCTTACTTAAAACTAAAGATTTTATAGTATTGTAAATATTATGCAATTTCAAACCCAAATTAAAACATAAAATAGAAGAAGTAAAAAAATTAAATTATAATCTACCCAAAGCTTCAAAAACTGAACTTCAGAGTCAAGGGACATATTATGTAACAGAAATTTCACCATGTCTTTTACTGAGAATATTTTACCTAAGTGTTCAATCATTAATGCAAACAGAACTTTTACGTTTTGGTGGATAACAATACAAATCAATATTACATGGTAAATTTTAATCCTTAAAATGATTTAGTTGTACAAAGTTGCAAAATTAGTCATAAAAATAAATTTAAGGAGTACACTATTTTTACAGTTTAGGATTCTAAATTTTAAAAAATTACATTTACTGTACAGAGCATGATAATTGCACAATTTGTTTCATCTTCCTTATGCTGTTACAAGTGACTGAATAAAACTAAGAGCACAAAATTATTACATAAAATCTATGTCCAGTTAAGAACATATTTACTCAAAAAACTAGGAATCTTGATTAGAATCCTTAGCTAAAACGTTTTAGTAGTCCTTTCTGCCAATAAAACTAGGTATGCTACTTTTCCTAGAATCCAGATTTCAGATTTTTATAATACACAGTCCAGTCACAATAATGTGACCACCACCTGCTTTCGACATCAACGTGAAATAACCAATCACAAAGGCAGGTGGCAGCACATTGCACTGGAATATATATAAAGAGGGTTCGAGAGAATCATAAAACATTGCAATTGTTGGTGACGGAGAAACAGAACAACTTATCTGATGTCCAAAATGGCATAATGATTGGCTTTCTGGCCAAGAGCGGAAGGATTTCCAAAATGGCTAATTTTGTAAACTAACATGCTGTCATGGTAAAAGTATATCATGAATATAGTATATCACATGTATTCATACCATCATCGAAGGTAGGAAAAAGCAAGGCCCGAATCCGCAATACAAGTCCCTAGTATAAGATAAATTTTCTATGCGAGCGTGTTACCTCCGCACTAAGGTATCTTGCAGGAAGCATGCTTTTCACACTTCACCTTCAGGAAACCGAAGAAGCATCTGGGCTACGCTGAAATTATAGATATTTTCTGTAAATATTTTTTTTAAATACGAACTCCATTACAACACCACTCCTATTGACGCTTGAATCCAAAATCTTTAACTCAAGAAGCCAACGTTTTATCCACTAGGCAACAAGAGCGGACCTTAAATTATTGTACGTATATTTTAAGAAACATTTAAAATCTGGAATTTCGAAATCCATCATTTTCTCTCAACAATCTATAGCTTTAGATTATTCTGTAAACATTACCATTCATATATCATTTATGGTTGATTATTAAGGTTTATTACTGCTAATAAATCTGAGAATTTTCCTTTAAATAATTTATAAAACTATTTATTCTATTAGCATGTGCATTTTTTTAGATTAGTCCATTTGACCTTTTGTTTTCAATCAAGAAGAATTTTTGAAAATGCATTCATTTAAAAACTATGGTATAAAGTGGACGTTTGAAATGAGATGGCTGAAACTGACGTGTCAAAAAGTTGAAGTCAACTCACGCGGTCTCCGACCATCCGGCAAATGTCGCCTCTGAATTTGCTCCTAATTGGTAAACGCTTTATGCGCGAATGCATTGGTGTGAACGCAGCTACATAGGAAAGCAATCTTCCTAATCTCTTTCTTAAATCTGTAACGGAACTCTTTTGGTGTCAAAATTAATCTGAATAAATATCCTACAGGTCTGATTAAATGCTAGATGCATCACAATGAAAATAAAACTAGAAATTCCAATTAAAAAAAAAATGTTTTTACACGAATTATACATGCTTCTAAATTCAAAAATTCAGCACATTACAAAAAGTAAGGAAATCAGTAATATGCAAAATATCAAGTTTTTAAGAAAATCTTAATATAAATTTACCCACTCAATTTTCCTTGGTGCAGTTACAGATTAAGCAACACTAAAAATGAACTAAATTAGCTTATTCTGAAGTGTTTCTCTCAAATTATACATACTTTATTCTCATGTGTATTTTTCTCAAGGCCATTTACTTTTTATTCCAAAACTGTGACAAAAATAAGAGGTATGACTTAAATCAAAAGAATGTGCTACCATTATTGGGCTAACAAAAATTAAATGCTCTAAAACTGTAAAATATATTTCCTGGTACTAATATTTGAGCACTGTACAATAATTTGTAGGTATCAATGCTATAATGCAGATCAGATTACTAGGCCAATTTTTTTCATTCATAATTGTAGCTTCTATGCCAAGTTTAGAAAGAGTATCTATCATGTTCAAGTTTTTATTGATGTAGTTTTCAACCCTTTGTATAAAAATAAAATCCAATAAGACTTAAAATAATTATTAGCAAACTGGGAGAAAGTGAAAATTATGCAGCTTTTACACAGAATGTGGTCCTCTTTGGAGGGGGGGGGGAATGAGGTTTATCAGTACATAAATCTAATACATGTGAGAATATGATACATGAAGTATCATGCAAATTTCTATCAAAATGTTTCAATATACATCATCTCATTTTTTAAATAACTAACTTCACTGAATCCATCACAAATATTTTTATATTTTAGCTATTGAGGAAAAAAGGAAATATTAATATGAAATCAAAAATCTTCTGAACAGCAAAGAAAAATTCTAGTTTGTGGACAACTTTCTAAAGGGAATTGATTTATATTCATGCTGTATGTAGGGAAAACGAGATAAAAAACCAGCCATGTAGCTGTCTGCCTGGGACCAAGACTAAAAAAAAAATCCCAGTATTTACAGTCTTTAACTACTCAGCCACTGCTGAGGCCTGGAAAATAATACATACTGAAATTATTTTTACAAATAATAAATCTCATGTTTTAACTGATGCATAAACAGAGTTTTTATTATTGCTTTGTAAATCACAGCCCATGCACCCAAAATCCACAAGCAAATCAATCAGTAAGATTTAAAAAACTATTATGTGGAAGATTTTATTTAAAAATTTAGGGAAGCTTTTTTGAACACCTTAGAAAAGTTGAAAATTATGTGAATATTATAAAATTTTTAGATTCCTGTGCTAAAATGCTAAAAGGAAAATTATGCAAGTACGGGAATATGCGAGTAAAAATGGTAAATGCTTTTACTAAATGATATGTCATTTCCCACTGCAGGCAATAACATTCTCCATGCAAAACTAAGATTATATTATTACTTTACTTGCATTTTAAATTGGCATGAATTCTCTGTCCACATCAAATAGCAAGAACTACTGTATTAGTGCTTTGATTATTATTAGTGTATCGAGTATTCTTGTTCCAGTACTTTGATTGAAAAGCATAGGAAAGAATATCAAAGCATAATAAATGATAAAATTCTGCTGGAAATCAAATAAGAGATGTAAGCATGATTGTAAATCATTTATTGTAATTAGACAGAATGTTTACTGAGAAATGGCAATAGCTTGTTCTAGTAGTTTGTTAATATTCTAAAGATATAAATATGTATGGTGCTGTAACAACATCTGTTATGATACGTGTTTAAGAATAAGTTACATGTAGGCCTAATAAGGTATGAGTGTATGTTATGTTTTAAAAATGCCTTATGAGTCATTAATTCAAATACACAAAAACTTAGGAAGAAGATCTATAAAGGATACCAACTTAAGCCATTGTTCCCAGATCCTTATACAAAAATCATAATTAGACTGCACTTCATTACTTAATTTGAGATCAGTTTCCTTAAACTTAAGGTATTTTGCAGGTTTTAGAGGTAATATTCCTAAATCGTAATTCACAAACTTTACACATAATTTCATGAAGAATTGTATTTTGCATGATATAAATATTACTTAAGTGAATATTGGACTCACAGGCAACAATCACAATTTAATGCTGGACATGCTATTTTATAAATCAACAAATAATCTAATGGACAAATTGGATTTCAGGTAATTAAAGAAATTAATACTGTTTAAATACACAAGGATTGCACACATAATGCCCCATAAATTTAAAATAAGAATTACTAAAAATTCAGTATTAGAAATCTTGTTCATTAACTATGCTTTATAATTTTTCAGCATTTTATTTCATAATTAATGATAAGTCACAAGGACAGATTTTTCTTCCTGATAGATCTACACATATATTAAGTGTTGGTTGTTAATTAGTTTTTATGAAATCAATCTGTCTTAAAGTTGGATTTTTCTCTTTTGACAGAAAGAGGTGAAAATTAGTAAATAAATGATGAAGTACAGCATAATAATTAAAAATAACTCAAGATTTATTCCTCACTGCAGTTTCATTAGAACTTAGTCCAATTTTATCAAAACATTTGAATATTAATGCCTTAATAAAGCTGGACTAAGCTCGAACAAAACTGCAGCCAACATAAATTTTTGCTTATTTATGTTAATTATCAAATTTAACTTCATTTACTTAAGCTGCATAAAACTATTTATCACAAGTAGATATATATTAATCATCAGTAGATCTAGTATTAAATTTCAAGAATATTTGAAAAATTTAGGTTACCTGGAGTGATTCTCAGTCAAAAATCAGCAACTAATTATCATAAAAACAACTTCAGTGTAAATATATACAACAAACAATGTTTCTTCATTAACCCTTTGACGTGCGCTATATTATTTTTATAATTTTTTTAACTAAAAACACTAGAAATTGAATATTGTGATATTAGAGACAAATAATATATGAATTTAAAAAAATCTACTCTCGCCCATTAATTTGTGGGTGGTGTTTCACTGACTTTGAAACTTACTGAGTTAGTAGGAAAAAACAACTTACCTTTTTCCGTGCGCATTTCCAACGAATGATGAAATTTGCGAATAAAAAAAAAAACGCATTTAAAAATTGCATCAAATGTAAATTTTTTACTTTATTTTACACAGCATATCATCAGAAAAAAATGTTAATTTATATAATTTTTCTGCAGCAGTGAAAAC